ACGTCATGGAATATGTTTCCAAATAAGTTTTAAAAATTTAAATTAGGCAAATAAGCAGACTTATAGTTGTGTACTTTGATGTCCTGTTTTATTTGGAGCTTACTTACCGGTCAAATGGTCAAGTAATCAAATCTTCTTAGGAAAGTCCCTAACTAGAAAGGAAATGTGCTTCAGTGTTTCCTTAAATACTTCCTTTAACACTGGATACTGGACCAACCTTTAAGAAAAGGAAGTAAGATGCCATCCCAAAATTCATAGTGGCACACTACACTACTGTCATGAAAAACATATGTCTTCTATCTATATGGCTTTCATTAAATAAGCTGATAGGAGCACTCTGAGCAAAGCATACAAGATGAGCTTTCTGCAGTCCGGTTCACATAGTAGTTTCATCATGGCCCACATCACCAGAATCCATCATCACATTATTAAAGAGCCTGGTGTAAGTGCATTCCGATTATTAAAGCATCTTATTTCACTTTTCCTAAATCCTAATATATATTTTCCCTCACACCTTAACTTATCCTTATGCCCTTTTCCATCAAGGTTAAGGTAAAGTGATAAGAAAAAGAAAGCAGGAGGTCATTTTTTTGGACTTTTCCTTTTTTTTTTTCATTTCCTGTCTTTGTGAGAATAAGTCATCACTGTGTACATATACTTCACTTCGTTCCCTGGCAGATTGTTTCTGCACTCACAGCAGGAAAGTGTGTTGGCCATTCCCCGTCTTTCCCTTGAATGATCTCTTGTCTGTTTTTTGTTTGCCTTCTGCCTGATATTCGCCTCACACGGACTCAAAGACTTGCTCTAAATGCAATCATGCCTGGTAATAATTTTAGTTTTTGCCTTCCTCTGCTGTCCTCTTACCTGTGAACCACAACAATGGGAATAGTAGGGCTACATCAGCCTGAATGCACTGCATTTCTTAACTATCTTGTTTTTGAAAAAAAATTTCTAGTTTTTATGCAACTTTCCAAGTTCCTCTTATTCAGAGGTAAGGCTCACATACCTCATAGACTTTCTATCTTTTTTTTTGCAGTATTTGATTAATATTAGTAAGTTTAGTCGAGCCAAGTGGATATTTTCCCCAAGCCCCTGATGAGACGTGTATTAATAGTTGAGCACAGCATTATATCACTTTGTTATTGGGAAAAAATGGAAAGCATTTCAGTGTGTGGAGGATTAGTCGATATTCAATTAACCCAGGCAGACAGTTATGGTGACTCTTTATCAATACCTCTTTTTAACTGCACACCCGCAGCACACTTAATTAAACTTCCCATTAATAGCATCAAACAAGTGAGAAAACTAACAACACAAACACTCGCATAATTTTGGAAAAGTGATCCAAATCCATACAAGCACCGACCGGAGAAGTGGTTATCAAAGACAGTCGGCCAAGCTGCTGCACTGGCCTCAGGTCTCGGCTGTGATCATAGATGCTCTCAGTCCAGTTGTGGAGACAAAGGAGGAGGAGGAGGCTGTGTGTTTTGGACATGGCACAATTGCGTGTCCTCAAACTATTTGTCTGGTTATTGATGTGTATCTGGGACACCCTGTGACCCTTGACCCTGAAATCATTAATTTCCTCGCATTCCACAGCTGGGTTTATGAAAGCCCTCCCTTACATGGCTCAGTGCAGAGCGTGGTTATGACTATGAGGGAAGAGCTTCGAGATTCTTTTAGAAAAGCAGTAATTTTGAAATAACAGAAAGCCTTCTATGTAAATCAAGAGCCCTCTGATAACCCTATCCTTATTCCAGACCGTCATTTCTCTTTGATAATCAGCTACAAATCAGGGCCAGTGTGCCAACTGGGGCAGCGATGTGACTGTCTAGACAGTGATAATGATCTGCTAACATGTCTGTGCTGCCGTAGATCTTCTCTACTAACTGTAAGCAATAATTGTTCTCTATGGGAATAACTAGATGTGCGTTTAACAGTAGCTATTATGGGAGACCTTGCAAAAAAAGATTAGAGGCCACTGTTTTCCCATCCATACAAAGCTGCAGTACAAAGAAGGGTAAGTCAGCCCTCATAAAGTGAATCAAATGTTAGTGTTGGCATATTTACAAACTAACTTCAATGAAACTGTACAACCCATTTCCCTATAAATTTTGTGTGTGTGTGTGTGTTGCCCAGAGTTAACATTATATGTACTTGGTATTTAGTTTACACCCAAATATCCAATTTGTTGCAATATTCATCAACAAATGTTAGGTGTTATAATTGCAAACATGATTAAAGATGCAAAGACGTTCAGTTTAAAATTATACAGTGTTCACAAAAGTCTAGCAACCCCTCATTTCTTTATATTCTGCTTCCATGGAGCCACATTTTATTTTAATTTGTCAAAAGTGGTCTTGAGCAGTAGCTCACCAGGCTTTCTGCTGGCCTTGTAAAGTTTTTGTTTGGACATTGACTGCTTTTTTTTTTTTTTTTTACCAAGAACCAAGTTTTAATTGTGACATTAGGTGCTTTGTTACTAGCAGCTGTCACAAAAACACATAATTTGTTTCCACTTCTATGAAAAATACTAAAGATGACACAGTTTAATAGGGATAAAATAGTGTTTATGGACCAACAGGTTTATTTCAAAAGGCATTTTAGCCAAAAACTTGGAACGTCTAACACAGTCCGATAAAAATATTAGCAGACACTGGACATGCGGATGACAGAAGAAGTGGCAGACCTAAAAAAAAAAATACAAAATCTACAGATGAACAGTATCTGAAAGTCCTTAAGAGTTAGGCAGAAAATATCCAGCAAAAACCTGAGTGATGCTTGGTTGAAGCCTGATCACAAATGGCCTGAATGGAAAGGTGGCATTAAGAAGTGGTATTAAGAAGCCATTCTTAATGAAGGGAAACAAGGAGAGAAGGTTGAGGGTTGATCTTGTCAAAATTGATGAAATTATGAACACAGAAAAGTACTGTCAGATTTTGATCCACAGTTTGGAAAGCGTCTGATTGGCAACAATTAATTTTGTGGCTCAAGAGTTTTGCACAGTAATTTTTAAGCCCTGGAAAGGAAATTTTTCTCAAAAATGAGCAAAGCAGCATTCTCACTTGATGACATTAATATTTAATCAGTTATCAAAACTGTTGTGCAGATTCTGTTAATGGCCTTATCAGCTGATTGACTAATCGTGTCAGCACAACTTAAGACCAAGAAAGAGTCCCAGCTGGGTTCACTGCTTCAGAACTTTAAAAATGCAGCGTGCCATTAATTTGCTCATAATCAGCTTTTTCTCCTGCTCCAGCCAAAGATAATGACATGTAGTAAAAATATTCTTAACATTTTAGAGGCACAGCTGCTTACAGGTATAGACACATTATTCAAAATCACTTGTGTCTTAATTAAATTAGTCCTAATTAACCTACAGCAGTATCTTCAATAGTTAATGATTTTAAAGAGATAGCATCCTGTTTCATTTCAACCAGGCAGTATAGCGTAATATATTTCATCAAAGGACGGACACTGGCTTTACAGAGTAAAATAGTTGAGTGAAAGTAGAGGAGTCAAGGCCACATAACCCAAACAACACCAACACTCTGAGGACTTTATTGTAAAACAGTATGCAGTGAACAGACTACCGGTGCACCTAACAAGTTGTGTGTCTCATTTGGTTGTCAATCTCCCGAGCCCGCTGTCCCATCTTTGTTTGTCACTCTGCGCCGTTGCGTGAATACCAATGAACAGCGAGCCGTTATCACCTGAGCCTCGGATGACAGCATCTCAGTGATGTATTGCTCATCAGCCTCTGTTTCGTGCCAGACAGGATGTGTTTTCTTACTTGGTAAATGAAAATGTCAAATGCAGATCTTTAGTTGTGACGGCTCAGCAAAATCCCAGATTGTTTTAAGTTAAGATGCACAGCCTAACCCATCTCTAACCTTTTAGATACGTGATGGAGTTTTACAGCTGTACAGATAAGAAACGATGCCGCCGCGTTTATTTCCTGTGCTTGCTGATAAGCCGAAATATAATTCTCCAAACTACTATTGATCAAAGACGTGAAACTTTACTGTGTTCCCGCCACAACTCCATTGTAATTCTCCAGGCCTCCTCTCTTACCGTGTAGCCCGTTAGAGGGCTGTTCCTCCGTCCTCTACTAAGTTTGTTCTGAATGTTGAAATGTTTTCCCCTTGGGTGCCTTGTGCCAGCCCCCTTCCTCTTCCACCGATGTGGGGGTGAGCTTTCCCAGGACAAAGAGAAGAATATATAAAGGAATGGAGGGGGGGTCGGAGAGACAAAAAGACAGCGGGTGTGTGAGCAAAGGAGGCCAAGTGAAAAGATATAGAGGGCTTGTCAAAGGGCTCAATACTGCTGGCAAGCTTTGAGTGTGGGGATACAGAGAGAGGAAGAAGGAGAGAAAAACAATCTGTACTTTTCCCCCCTATTACAAACCCAATTGCTCACTCCTTACAGACTCCACAGGGTGTGGGGTACACACCACGCTCTGTGTTTAGAGAGTTACTGGAGAGCAGCTCAGTCCAACTGCACCCCCACCATCTCCCCTAGTCCTCCTGCACATGGTACAGTCCATTTAAAAGGCTGCATGTCATCTCAGTGTGTGCAGGGTCCTCTCTGAGAGCAGCTGCTCACAGCACATTCTCCTCTGCGGGAGCATTCACTTTCCCCTCCGCCTGCTGGGCTGCATCTTTTTCTCCCCTGCCTTTTTTTCTTTCTCTTCCTGCTCTCTTTGGTTTCTCTCTATTCCTCTTTCTCCCGCGCTCACTCTCTCCTCTCGCACACACATGCTTTCTCTGACTCTGTAGTGCTTGGACACATTCTTTATGCAGTAACAGGTAGACATCATCCCTGTACTGCCGGCTTTTTTTTTTATGTGCGAAGTACACTGTGAGAGAAAAAGCACAGGTGGAGTAGGAGAAGAAGAAGAAGAGGGTGATAAGAGGTGGCGGAGGAGGAAAGAGTCTTAACTTCACCTCCTGTAATGCTTCTCTTTACACCATGCTGCTCTGTGTGGATTTGGTCCTCAGGGGAAAATCCTTAAAATGATGGAAGACAACAAACAGCTGGCACAGAGGATTGATGGGGCCATCCAGTCTGCCAGCCAGGAAGTGACCAACCTGCGCTCCGAGCTCTCTGCCACCAGCCGTAGACTGGCAGAGCTGGGTGCCAGCAGCCCCCCTGGCTTGGAGAACCACCACCAGCACAACCACCACGATGACAGCCTTCACTACCGGGGTGAGTGCCTGAATGTGTGCGCACTCACATGTAATCTCGTGCCTCTGTGTGTGTGTGAGAGCGAGAACAGGAACATGTGTGAGTGTTTTGAAATCAGCAGTGGGAAGTATTCTAAGAATGTGCAGCGGAGTGACTAATATCATCCCACCGTTCCTCCATTGACTTATTTTTCCCCAAACTCAGCATGAGAAAAGTCAGCAGCTTGAAAGAAAAGAGAGAAAGAGAGAATGACTGAGTGTTGTTATTAAATGGCAGGGAGGGGTTGGGGTTAGAGAGCGTGGGCCAGAGTTGCTCAGGGTTTGGTTTCCCAGGCAGCAGCTGGGCTCCTCTGAGGCTGCACTCCCTCCAGCTCTGGCTCCTTCTCCGCACTCTTCCCGAGTCTATGAGGAGAAACTGTGCTTCATGTCCAGAAACTGCATGCCAGCATCTCTGAAGGAGGGCGGTGACACCATGGCACTGCCACTTAGCTGGGAAAAAGATGTAATGAATGACGAACGAGAAGTTAAAGAGAAGTTTTCATGGGACTGCTCATTGAGGCTTCCTGCTCTTAAAATAGTTTCTCTTGGCTTCTTGTTACACTTATTGATATCTCTCGTGTTTCTTAAAGTAATAACTTGGCTAAAGCGCTGTTTTATATTTAGTTATTCCATGACTAATGATGTCTGACAGGAAATTTTTATCTAGTGTGAGACCGTGTTCTGGGTCTAATTAAGCGTCGTTACGACGTATTCGAGTTAGTTACTTTTATATCGCCGACATCTTGGATTCATTAATGATCATTTTTATGGAGTTTGACAGGAACAAGAATAAAAGGGGAATTTTTGTTTTCCTGTTGCCTTGAATGCATTAACAGAACAGCAAATACTTGTGTCAGCTATCCAGATAATTTGGTGAGAAACTTTCAAAAGTTTCCAAACTTAACAAATAATATTTTACATTCACTGTATGCACAGAAAATTTGGCTTGCTGAAAAAGAGAGCAACAGAAAAAAATGGCCTTTCACCTTTTGGTGTTTCTGTTCTGCATTCGAATTGAATGCATCTGGGAGCCTGTATGTTTTTGAGATCTTATCATACCCAGCCACAGTGGCTATTAAATGCACTTTAAAAGATATACAAGAGACTACCCAAGCAGGAAAAGGTCTAATGAATGAAGACAAGATATAAGTTACAAAGGACTAAAAGGTTTTGCTAATACTTGTGTTACAAATCCCACAACTTAATGGAAGTGAAAGCATTGTAGTCATTCATTGTGGGCATGCTGTAAAAGAAGAAGTACACACTGAGAAAATGGTAATAATAAGCTGACAGTTATTAGAGAAAAATACAGCTGCAGTTGTTGCTGCTGCTCCTTTTTTTCCAATGCAAACAATTTATAACAAAAAACTCCCATTTTCATTAAAAGAAAAGTTACAATATGCAAATTAGAGAACATAACAGAGATTATTCAGCCAGCTGATTTAGCGCTCAGCTGCTGCCTAATAGATCTATTTTTCAATCCACCCGGTACACAGAGAGTATAAAAGAAAAAAAATATGAACAAAGCACTTTATTATTCAGAAAACATGTTTAAAAGTGAGTTTTTTGCATTGCCAGCTACAGTTGGTAAGATTTTCTTGACCTGTAAGTCTTATGAGTTGAGCACAGCATCAGGTGCAGGGACTACATGGCAGATTCTCCTCTTTTCTTCGAAATTCAGCCGATGCTGGAGCGTGATGGTTCAACTACCAATGGGAAAATGATATAAGATCGAAACAGATTAATCTGAGTAACAGATTAATGCTTATCAGATGGCCAAACCACGAGCAGCAGAGTGGCTTCACAAATCCTGAAAATTACTATGGCGCAGTCATTTAATCTATTCTTCTATATAATTTGAAGTATTATATATGCTGCGTTTATAGTTTGTTTGTTTGTTTTTTGCGATAAATGTCAGTTCAAGCCCAGTCTGAGTGTTTCATCTGTGTGGCTGCTGCAGTGAGTTATACATGTTGTGTTCATCCAGCTTGCTGTTCTGACTCCCTCTCAGTGTTAACAGGCAGCCTGACATTCCCACATTCCTGAATGTCAGGGTGGTGATGTCATACTTCCTGTTCCCAGAGGCCAGGCTCGCAGTCAGGTGACTGATTAAACTAAACACACCCACACTGAGAACCGCTTGGCTTAAACATGTTTTTGTAAGTTCTTAAGTTTAGGCGGTTTGGGGTGTGATGAGCCAGCACCATCATCCAGTGGCTTAGTGAGATTAAATGTTCTTTAGGTGTGTATCCCTCTCCAGGCCAGGCTGTTCGCTTGCCCGTTTGTTGGCCGTGCCCTGTGCAGGATCAAAGCAGAGTTTTTTTGTGTGTGTGTGCTTTTTTTTAATATGCATAAACTGACTTCCTGTAAATATATTACGCTGTGCCAAATGTCAGAATTTCTGCTGTGTTTCAACTCCCTGTGGAGCTACAGCAGCATCTCTGACAGACATCCAATAAGCCCATAAACACAGCACTTCATCCTGCTGTTCCTGATGGCCTTGGAGTCCATTGTGGAGTCCTAACTGAGCTAACCACAAGGAGCAAAGCATTAAATGAACCCAAACTTTCAGTCTGTTCACAGAGATCCAGGATTAACTTTGTTATTTGCTTTTGCTAATAAACATTTTGTATAATTTTTACACTTACCCTCTTTAGAAGATTTTCTTTATTTGCCGGCATTTAAGAGTACAGTATAAGCATTCAACGGAAAGGTCTATGACTGGCTATCAGACATGACCTTTATTATTCTGTTCAGGCTGCTGACATTAATGTATTCATTGCCAGGACAATGAAATCCTATTGAGCCTCTCTCTTGATAGACCCAGTTGATGTCAAGACCTTGTTTAACATCCCTAAACAATCAACTGCATTGCTGCTTTATCTATGTTCCACTGAGCTGTTTGGAAAAAAGACATATTCATCTTCCTCTCAGTTTGTCTCAGGGACCAGAAGCGCTATGAAAATATCCTGTCCTCTAAAATCAATGTTAGGTAACCCTTATGGGGTTTTACATTATTTATATAAGCGCCTTGCTGTCAGTGGGTGAGAAAGTGCACATCGTGGACTCATGAGAATCTGCCAATTGAAATCCATAAGCCTGTAAAACACAACCATAAGGCAGCTGTTAGTGTGTCATACAGCTCGGAGAGTATGGATGACCTTTGGCTGCTTTAACGAGCAGAGGACAATAACACAAAGGGAGAGAGCACTGATGTGGGTATTGTCTATCAGTTGTCATTTGTCCTTGAGTATCACAGTTGGTCATTGTGGAAAGAGAATAGTTAGGACAATGCTTTTACAAAGTGAGTTATTTCAGACATTCACGGTGATGAAGGTGATGAACATTATGAAGGTTATGAAAGTGAAAGTAACTGAAGAAACAGAACATTTGATGACTTTCAGTTTGAACATGTCAAGGTTTTTGGGGAGGACGATGTTGCGTTTATAAAGACCTGACTCGCTGACACAAAATTAAACACACAAGGAAAGAGGTCAACAGCAACGAAAATGGAGTTAAATTTGACCTTTCAGTGAGAAAAATTCAGAGCTTGTAGAAAAGCTTAAAATTCTACTGCCAACAGCAAGTGGAAGCTAAGCGAGACCTAATGAACCGTTTGGCAGTTTAAATAAGTTAACCTTCGAATTTATGATCAATTTGGGGTGAATGTGGTAACTATTAAGGAGCTCTGAATTTGTTACTGCTCCGGTCCTTGCACTTTGTTCAGGTTTGCTGCTCCAGTGGCATAGTATAAAAACAACCCACCACACAAAAGGCAAAATTGATTTTTATAAATAGATTTAAACACTTGAAGATAAATGTTGTTGTAGTAATAAGAGTGATAAGCAACTTCCTTCTTGTTTGAAATAGGCCGTCAGTTCTAAATACATATTCCTTTTTCTACGTGCACCTCCTTTTGCCTTCTGCCTTAATTCTTCATGGCACAAAGTCAACAAGGTGCTTGAAAAGTTCCTCAAAGATTTTCGTCCATGATGGCATCAGAGCATCACACAGTTTCTGCAGATTTGTTGGATGCACATCTATCATGATCTATCTATCAACGCCAAATTCTGACCCTGAAATCTGAATGTTGCAGCAGAAATGAGGCTCAACAGACCAGGAAACATTTTTCCACTCGTCTATTGTCCAATCCTGGTCAGGCCTTAATTAATTGTACCCTCGGGTTCTTGTTCTTAGCTGGCAGGAGTGTCACCCAGTTTGGTCTTTTGCTGCTGTTTCAAGGTTGAATGTGATGCAGATTTAGACATGTTTCTCTGCATACACTGGTATCAACAAGACATTTTCACCTAGAGAACTGCAGCACACTAGATATTTTCCCTTTTCAGACCATTCCCTGTAAAATCTTAAGAGATGGTCATGTGGGAAAATACAGTAGATTAACAATTTCTGAAACCAGCTTGTCTAAACAGGTGTACCCAATAAAGTGCTGAGTGAGTGTAGTTAAAAGTAAACTTTAAATACTAATACTTTCAGAATCAGATAGTCTTCCATCTTAGCATTTCTAATAAAGCTCCCATGCTGCATACCAAAATAATGTATTCTGAGATTGAGGAGAGTGGCAGTACAACTTTACACAGTGTACTGCAAGGCATGCATGCTGATTAAGTATTCACTAAAAGACCCCGCGATTATCTTTTCTCCAAAGAGGAGGAGCTGAACTGGCTCTAATGCTCTCTGCTGCAGAGTAATTGTAGAAAAGAATCCTCTCCCCATCTGGCCTGAGTTTGTTAGATGCCTAGGTCTCTCATTACTTCATCCAGCAGAAGAGCGGGGCTGGGAACACAGTGCCAAACTACAGCAGCAAAATCCCATTCACCCCAGCTATTTCCCTGTAACGCTCTCTGGACCACCCGCCTTCCTGTTTGCTGTCTGCATCAGAGCAAGTATGCAATGCAATGTAAGCTTCCCCCTGTATTTACCACCACCCGAACACCCCCCAGCCCTTTCTTTATTCCCTGCCTA